CTTAAATAGATTTCTTTTCTACTTAATGACGACGCCGGGTTTTTTTTTATTGTTTGATTTATCTTCTTCTGATACCCCTAAAAAGCAATATACAACAAGCTATAGAGAAGAGAGAGGAAGAAGAGAGAATCGTAGAGAACAGAAAAAAACCGGCGTCGTCATTAAGTAGAAAAGAAATCTATTTAAGTGCATATACACATCAACATAGACGAAAACAGGTTATTACTACAAACAAAAGAAAAAAAAATTTATTCCAACTGCCTTCTTTTTTTTCCGGAGATATTATCAATTTTTTTATATACACATCAAAATGTCAAAACAACCGTCATCATCATCATCATCTTCAATCAAAAAAACGAACTAACAACGATTTATAAATCGAAAATAAACTATACTAATGGAAGCATTTGAGCGTAAGTGATTGAACTGTCACGTAATTATTCAACATGCTGAGTTTTTGATAGAATAATTGACGTATTAGTGATATCATTAAATAAGTGTCCCTCATATCGAGTAAATAATAGATAAGAATGAAAGTTCCATATGGATTGTATTGAAAAATAATGATAATGATATCTGTTGACAAACTATAGGTTTGACTTTGTAGCAAAAATAAAGAGCATCTGTTGTTTATCTATTGGATACCGTAGAGAATAAGAATAATGAGATACATGTCGAAACAAGTTTCTTACTTCTTGATCTTTATTTCTATGTCGTATGTCATTATAAAATTACTTAGATGAAAATTTGACAAATCTGAAAATGATATTAATATTTATCTATAATAGATAATGATGATTATCCAGCATTATTACCAAAACAAATTCGAAAAGTACCAAAAAGTATAGAAGAAATTGTACGAATTACGAAATTTAATAAAACTGAAATACGATTACTTTATAAAGGTTTTAAACAGGTATGCAAAAATAATTTTTCTTTTTAAATTTTATAATTTTCTTATTGAATTTAATTTAATAGGAATGTCCTAGTGGTGCAGTTACAGAACCAGAATTTCAAGCAATTTATTCACATTTTTTTCCGCATGGAAATTGTCAAAATTATACAAGCTTTTTATTTCGTGTTTTGGATAGACGGAAGCGGATGTATTTTACATTTGAAGTAATTTATCCTTATAAATGCAAGAATATTAGCATTTGAAAGAGTAAAGGGAGTAGCACGACGATCTTTTTTTCATTTCTTTTATTGATCATCAATCTTACGATTGTTGTTGAACTACAAAAAACATTGAAAGTATATTAATTAGTTAGAAGAATTATAAAAAAGACATCTCTATCGTTTATAATTAAATCATGAAATATAATATGATGATGTAGATAATATTCTGCTCTTTTCTTTTTTATAGGATTATATTCAAACATTATCAATTTTAGTTCGTGGTAGTATTAAAGAAAAACTTCATTGGATCTTTCGTCTCTATGATATTTATGATGATGGTAAATTAACAAAACAAGTATGATAATTTTATTGTATATATTACGTATAAATATATTTCTATAAGACATTTGAAACAATTCTTCGCTCAATATATGATCTACTTGGATCAAATATATTTATTCATCAACCAATTACTGATGAAACAGTTGAAAAACATACAAATCTTCTTTTTGAAAAACTTGATGTTGATCATTCAGGAACAATTAATTTAGATGATTTTGAAAGTTATTGTTTACATGTATGTGTATATTACGAAAAAAAAGATATAGAAAAGAAATTATCTTTTACTTTAGAATCAACAGCTAATAGATGAAATCGATTTTCTGACATCGACTGCTGTTTAATTAATTATAAAAAATTGTTTTCTTTTTTTTTCGATGTTTGTAGAAATTTGAATATGTCCTTTATTTTGCCCGTTAAATAATGTAAAATATATTTTTAAAAATTGACGTTTGTTATAGCTATGCGCTCATATCTCTATTCGGACAAGTCATAACAGAATAATATATTGCAGAGAGTTTTAATGAAAGAATAATACAAGAATGCATCTAATTATTGTACTTTATTTTTTTTTTGTTTTATAAATTATGCCGAGTCGATATTGATAAATCAATATCTTAATGAGTTATTTCTACTTATAAAAGTCATATGGAATATGTGACAGATGTTTACATTGCACGATGGAAAATGCCAGTGAAGGTCAGAAGTTAGTTGTTCTATCACTTGTGGATACGTGAAAAAAAAACTGATATGTTATTATGTATTGCTAGTAAAGTATTTTACAGAAAAAAAGCAATGAAATGTCGTGTATATGTCGGATTTTTTACATTAACATTGTTGTTTGATTATATGTTACTGACAGCTTCTACCAATAGAAATTAAATATTTTCGTACGCTCACATGTGAATAAATAGCATAAGGCATATGGTTATTTCATAGCTCATATTACTAATGATACTTACAAGTAGAAACTATTGATTGTAAATATAATTTAATACTTTAGAATTAATTGTAGAATCGTTTGGTTGATTACTTCTTCTGTATTTTTCTTTAATAAATAATTTTCGATTATTCATAGTTTTCATGATAATGTGTTGACCTTGTTTGAGACATGTCTATCGAAAAAGATCAATCTTTTAATGACATGTCTTATGCAATTGTTCAAGTTGTTAACAATAATACTACCTTTTAGTTTCGAATACCTATTGTCTGCAATCATTGATCATCAATAGAGAAATTACATTTAGAATTATAAGAATCTTATTGTATTTATTAAATTGAACAAAAGACAGATAGCTGGTAATGATGCATACCGAAAGATTTACATAAGATTTCCTTTCAATTATCAAATCTTGTTTTCTGATCAATAGAAATGTTATTCTTTATACATGGCAAAATATCAAAAAAAAGTCTTGTCTGTGTTTTTTTCATTATTTCTATTCCATCTATAAGACTAGTATTTATAGTAACATGATAATTAACACATACTAAATGTCATGGATACTTTTCATAACCACATCTTCGTTGTTAAGTGAAAAACAGTTGAAATAGAATATAATACAACTGATAAAAATTTTATGCATATTTTATTGATAACACATTATTCGTTGATAATAGAAATATGCTTGTTTTTGAATTATACAGACAGAATTCTAATGTGATCTGATAGTATATAAAATATGTGCTCGTCAGATGCCGCTGATAGATGAAAGATTTGAAAGTATGAAATAAATAATATAAATAGTTTTAAAATAGTATATACAGACTAAGTAAACAATATTTCTATAAAAAAATTTTTAACTGATAGATAACTATAGATAACATTTCATTGGTTATCGATCATCTGATCTTTAAAAATCAAACTTTAGCAGCTCTTCTTCGTCAAATTATACGGATTGATTATATAAGTGCAAACTAATGTGTAGAGACTCTAAATAGGTATGTTTTTTTGACCTATTCTTTACGTGCAATAATTTTATCACATGATAAATAACGATACATTATTTTATATTTTTAGACTTCATTTTTTTTCCTTGTATATATTTTCTATTTGGTATGATCTGGCATCTTCTTCTTCTTTTGTCTTTCATTTTTACTATTAATAATATCAATGGTGATAGTATACGTTATCCAGCTATATTTATTCCGGGTAATGGTGGTTCACAAATATGGGCTCGATTAAATCGTACATCTCCTCCACCACATTTTTTTTGTTCACGTCATTCAAATTGGTTTGAATTATGGCTTGATGTTCGTCTTCTATTACCAGAAGTTATCGATTGTTTTGTCGATAATATGCGTTTAACATATAATTCAACAACGAAAAAAACATCAAATTTAGAGGGTGTAGAAATACAAGTACCTGATTTTGGACAAACATCATCCATTGAATTTTTTGATTCATCTGGTATTGGTTATTCATCCTATTTTGCACCTATTATAAGAAGTCTCGTTGCACTTGGTTACACACGAGGTGTTGATTTACGTGGAGCACCGTAAGAATTGATTGATTTTAGTTATGTATATATTTATTTTATGAATAGATATGATTTTCGACGAGGTCTTGATGAACAAGAAGAATTTTTTGATAATTTAACTAAACTTGTCATTGATACTTATGAACAAAATAATCAAACAAAAGTTATTTTTGTAACTCATAGTATGGGAGGTTAGTTATATTTTTTATTCGAGAAGTAATCATAAGAATAAATAATAAAATTAATTTAGGACCATTTGCATTGTATTGGCTTCATCGTCAAAAAGCTAGTTTCAAAGAGAAATATATTCGTTCAATGGTTAATATTGCTGCACCATGGGGTGGTGCTGTAAAAACTCTTCGTCTAATGGCTAGTGGTGATAATATCGATGTAAGATATTAATAAAAGTAAAGCATGAAAACGTTCATATTCGATAATTCATCTTAGGTATATGTTGTTTCACCTATTCGTGTTCGTCCTTACCAACGTTCAGCACCATCAACTGCATTTCTTATGCCAAGTTTTAATTTCTGGGACAAAAATGAAGTAGTTGTTGTTTCACCAAAACGAAATTATACTGTTCATGATTATCAAGATTTTTTTAATGATATTAACTATCCAACTGGATATGAATATTGGCTTAATAATAAAGGTTTACTTGATGAATTAAAACCACCTGAAGTTGAATTACATGAAATTTATAGTTCACAAATGCCAACACCTGGTGTACTTTTATATAATAATCGTACATTTCCAGATTTACAACCAGTTGTTTTACCTGATAATGGTGATGGTACAGTTAATATACGAAGTTTACTTGGATTTAAAAAATGGGAAGGCAAACAAAAGCAAGATATACATTCTACAGAATTACCTGGTGTTGAACATCTAGCTATTTTGAGACATCCAATGACAATTAATTATGTTATACAAGTTCTTACTGGTCAATTTGATTATAAGAAATAAACGTTGATTTTTGTATTTGTATTTGTGCATGCATATGTATTTATATCCCCGATGATTGATTGTTAGTATTGTACATCTATTTATATGAGAGATGAGAGAACGAAAGTATGAATTATTGTTATCTTCATTTTCTATGATGTGTTTTTTCTTATATATTAACAGATTATTTGTGATAAAAAAAGAGTTATACAAACATCATTGATGTTAACTATGTTTTGATTTTATTTAGATTTTGAAGTAAATTTGGTAAGAGAAGGTGTAGCTAACTAAAAATAGAATATATTTTTGAATAAAAATAATATAAATAGTGTGTAATGATGTAGTTTTGTGACGTTCAAAGTGAAAAATATTGAAGTAGCAAGTGAAATAAATGAATCATAACAATAGATATAGTTTCAAGGATGAAATTGATTTCATATGTGAATAAATCACAAAAAGATCTGATACATTTATTGAAGATGTTATTCTCGCTTTTGTTATTCATGAAATTCGTCAAAAAAAGTCTGTTATATCATATAATTGACAAATGATTTTGAATAAACTTGTAAATTGAATTGAAATTTTTAGATGTTTATTCATAATACACCAGCAGCATACTATGGACGAAGTATTAAAATTACATCAGATATACTCGAAGTTAGTTGATTGATATTTATATTAGCTCTTATTTATTAATATGTTTAGAAATGGTATTCAGAATTTAATAATACTATAGAAGAATTTCAGAAATATTTACTTCATGAAACAGTTGATAATCAATTATTTGCTTGTTGGTCTATTCGTGTTAAATATCGCGAAACTTTTATTAAGACAATTATTAAATGGGTATGCTTATTTGATTATATATTACGTGATAAAATATTTGGGGAAGTAGCAAAATGTCGAAACTAAAATGTCGAAAGCATAATGTC